GCAGGCTCATTGGAGATTGGTACCGGGCAAGGAGAATCCTGCAGACTGTGCATCTCGAGGTCTATTAGCGCACCAACTGGTGTCTCATAAGCTCTGGTGGAAAGGGCCACCTTGGCTTCATCAAGACTGCTCATCATGGGCAACTCACGCTCTGGAAAAAGACCTCAGCGCAGACCTCGAGGAAAAGCCAGGAGTTCTCCTACATGTAAAAGCTCATCCAATCGCGCTCTGGAATCTCGTCGACAGATTCTCATCGTTCAACTGACTGCTCAGGGTCACAGCAATCTGTCGACGATTCATAGCTCGGCTCAGGAAAACCCCCAACTCTTCTCTTCGATACCCGCTCACTCTTGGTGATCTTGAAGAGGCTCGCATCCTCTGGATCAAACTCACGCAGGCAGCTCACTTCAAGGATCAACTCAGAGCGATCTCACGAGGGGAAAGGTTCAGCAAATCCCACCCCCTCACCAAGCTCACACCCTTCATCGATCGCCAAGGGGTATTGAGGATAGGAGGACGGCTCAAGTTTGCTCACATAGGCCCGGAGAGCCGGAACCAAGTGATTATTCCGAAGGAATCTCAACTGGCTCAGCTACTCATCGGACAGGCTCATCTAAGGACACTCCACGGAGGCACACAGCTCACCCTCAGGCAGCTCAGAAGTAGCTACTGGATACTCGGAGGTCGAGCACCAGTACGCTCCTTCATCCTCAAGTGCGTTAACTGCACTCGCCAACGTGGAGTACGCGCTCAACAGCTCATGGGCCAGTTGCCACCAGCCAGACTCACTCCCGCTCGAGCCTTTCTCAACACTGGGATCGACTATGCCGGCCCAGTGTCTCTACGGTCCTGGAAAGGGCGGGGACACAAGTCGTACAAAGGCTGGTTGGCTATCTTTGTCTGCATGACCACCTCAGCGGTCCATCTCGAGGTCGTGTCAGACTACTCAGCCGAGGGGTTCATCGCGGCGTATAGACGCTTTTCAAGTCGGCGTGGGATCGCTCATTCCTTGTTCAGTGACTGTGGGACCAATTTCCTTGGCGCTGACAAGGAACTAAAGAAGCTCTTCTCGTCAGGATCAGCTCAATCAAGACAGCTCGCACAGCTCCTCATCAATGATGGGACTCAGTGGTCCTTCAATCCTCCAGGTGCTCCGCACTTTGGAGGGAAATGGGAAGCGGCGGTGAAGTCGGTGAAGTTCCATCTCACCCGGACGATCGGAGAGGATCTGCTCACTTTTGAGGAACTCACCACTTTGCTCGCTCAAATCGAGGCAGTGCTCAACTCACGACCACTGGAACCGCTCACGGATGATCCTGATGACTGTTCAGCCTTGACACCAGGGCATTTTCTCATCGGTCAGGCTCCCACGACTCTTCCAGAGCCATCTTTAGAGCAACTCAACGTCTCAAGGCTCTCTAGATGGCAGCTCATTCAGCAGAAGCTTCAAGGATTCTGGAAGAGGTGGTCCACGGGATATCTCCAACGTCTTCAAGCGATATCCAAGTGGCACCATCCGACTCATCAGATACGGATCGGCTCACTGGTTCTACTCACGGACGAGAGATTCCCGCCAGCGAAGTGGCCTCTCGCCCGAGTGACCGCTCTGCACCCAGGATCGGACGGACTCACCAGGGTAGTCACCATCAGGACTGCTCAGACGACGCTGACAAGGCCAATCGCCAAGCTCGTCCTCTTGCCCATCTCACCTTCAGGGGAATAGAACCAGGACAGCTCACCGGCTTCTCACCGTTGGACTTCGTCAACTTCGACGGATTTACGACCCTGACCAACCGACGGGGTTCAACGTGAGAATGACAGCAGCCAACGCAGAAGGGATTTACGACCCCCGACGTCTAGGATGCTGCCATGCCTAGCCAGCGCACCTTCCGGACGGTCTCACGGACTCACTCATGGGTGACAAGCTCCGACAGCTCACCAAAGAGCGTTTTGAATTTTGTTTTTTGTTTCAGCTCACCATGGCTCTACTCATTATGGTTGCGTCAACAACTTTACAGTTGCCGACGGCCGGGGAGAATGTTGGAAATCCTGTCAGCTGACAGGTCCCTCACACTAACGCACGCAAGGCTCATCCATTCTCTCCCCACTCACGCACACCTGACGCGCTCACCTCAGATGACCGGGGGTTGTTAATTCGGACACCTGAGGCGCCACGTCCTGGACAGCTCCTTATTACCATATGATCTATATTAAATTAGGTCATGTGACCATCGAATTAGGGCACGTGGCACCTGTAAGCCCGTGTCTCTCTCTCATTCGTTTCCGGGATCAAGTTAGAGTCACTTCGTTTATTACACTGCTCTTTTCTAGTGACTCGGGTTAACTCATTGTGTCAGCTCAGTTATTATCAATTCAAGGAATTAGTCGGCTCATTATTATCGGTCCGCTCATTGATTACGGTTGCTCAGTGACTCAATCTCTAGTGACTTATTTATTGTGAACATTTTCTTTGACAAATACAGTGAATTTGTGACCACGTGCACGTGTTCCGCTCATTTCTTGGTTCTACTCATCCCACTCCCCGTAATCCGACTCCAACTCATCCATCCGCACCATTAATTCCCCGATCCAGGCATCTCATCAAACATTTTATGTGTACATATCTGTTACATATAATATCTATATATTCCATTTAAATTCTAATATATATTCTTGACATATATATTTTTCCGTGCCGGTAGACCACGCCCACGAAGTAATGTATAATGGACTGGGCAAAACTGGATGTTGAAAGAAAATGGGCACTTCTGACTCTATTGCAATTAGCAAGATTTCACATTTTTGTTTCGATTAAATTTCCGAATTTATTCAAAAAAATTCAAAAATTATTCTCGTCATTAATAAATTGTTTCTAAACTAATCTAAACTAAATAAAACATTATTTCTACTCGCATTTTAGTTCATGTGCCCCTAGAAATCATCTCGAGTTTTATTTCCTTTCTGTCTCAATTCCCCGAGAAAATACGCGTTGCAGTAATGAACAACCCACATGATTGTAGTTTTTAAATTTTGATTTCACTTCCCCATTGGGAACTTTCTTCTCCGTTCTCGGGCATTGAAAAATACAAGATGGACTCTTGCGTAGCCAATGCCCAAGACATCCTAGTTCTCTCTGTCCCTTAACCACCAAAAAAGCATTTCTAGATATTACTAATTATTACGTAACAATAATCCAACCGAGTCTTCGATTATGTTTAAAAATTCAGTTGTTCACCAGATTGCAGAATAAGGAAAAAAGTGATATCACATACGTTTGATGGGCTCTCGTCCTTTCTCTGATGAGACGATAACCGATGTCGTGAACCTGATTGTTATGTCGAAGGGATAGAAGCGGCCTGCGGGCTCTTCTAATCATTGTGTTGAATAATAAGCACTGGTCCATACACGGCTTGACTTTCATTACTGCAGATAAAATAAACGACTAATGAAAGGGACCCGACTAACTAGTGCGACTGAATTGCCCCGAAAATGGAGACCGATCTGCCGAAAATGTTTTATCCTTCTAGTACACCCCCTCAACGCATGCCACCTCCCACCCTCTGCTCCATTATTCTAGGTTCAGTCTGACGTGATAGTACCGATAGTATTTTTATTACCAACAAGTAATCGGAGTTTCGCAAATTCTCCGGAAGGTGGATGTCACGATTTGTAGTCAATAAAAAATGCGTGGATGAAAAGTCAAAAAAATATCAACTCACTCATTTGAGACTCATTTTGTGAGATAAAAAGCTCCCTCGTCTGTCTGAAATTACTGATGACATTATTGTGATTGTTTCGATGACACCAATTCCGCGAAAAAAGAACCTCTAATATCCCAATGTGTTACACCTCCCATCTCAACATGCACTGTTAGAAATGATTGTGATTTTTGTACACTTTTAGAATACATTGCTATGAAAAAATGAAAATCGTCGTAAAGAATTTACGATCACCATGTTGTCACCACAAAAATACTGCACATATTTGCATTTATGGCCTGCAGTGTCACGAAACTAGAATGAGTTATACTATAATTACCGCGCGTATATCGGAAATACTATTTAATTGTAATTTTCTCCTAATTTTCGACAGATTTTTCTATACGGAATCTAATTTTGTTGTGTAATTCGATCATTTTCAGTTGAATATGTAGTGGATTTTCCATACCGAGTGATGAATTTACAATCCGTTATGAAGAATGCATCACTTATTCGAATTTCAGTAGGGCCGTGATGTAAATACATACATCGCCTTGGTAATTTTATGGCTTCATGTAGTAAATTTTATGCCACAAATAGATGGAACTTACGGGATTTTCGTCATCCAATTTTCGGTAATAATTTTACAATACCTGTCGATGAAATTACTTTCATGTTTAGTATTTTTAGGGCAAGCAACGTTAATAAAATTATGATGTACGTGTGAAAATTACTATACAGTGTCATCCACTAGACTTTAATTACAATTCCACTATGCTGATGAAGAATTTCACACACTGTACAGTTTTATTATGACGAATAAAGTACCTGAAATTATTGTGTGTGTGTATAAGTTACTATACAGTGCAATACGCTCGACTTGAATTCGAATTGTGCTATGCAGTTGACGAATTTCCCATATTCCTCAGTGTTTCTATGATAAAACAAGTTGCTAACATTGCTCTGTATGTGAAAATTACTATACAGTGTTATACATCCATTAGAATTTCACAATGTTGATGAGGAACTTTCCACACTTCCTAATTTTATTAGGACGAACCAAATGCCAAAAAATCTTATTTGTGGGTTGAAATTCCTATATAGTTCCATTTATTCAACTTGAATTTTAATTTCACAAATGGTGAACAAGGTTCCTAAAATTGCACTGTATGTGTGAATATTACAATCCCGTCCTTAGGGGTCATTCAAGTATTACGTCTGCATAATTTAGAGCTGAGGGAGTTGAGGGGTGTGCAGGATTTCTGACATCGGGTGTTGTCAACATACAAAATATATAGAGAATCTGCTGCCATGAGGGGTGGGGAAGGGGGTCAAAATTGACTCAAGATTTACTGACGTAATACTTGAATGGCTTAATAGGGTAAATGTTTTTGGAAGAGAGAGAAAACCATCCAGGCCTACAGGGTCGGAGACTTCATCTTCGAAAAAGGCTGGTAACAAAATTGCTAGGCAACTGTGCAACGCAGATGATTACCTATATTCGGCTTGACATAATGACCAAAAATTATATATCAAAGAGTGATGCATTCTCATTTCCCTTCCTAAGGATCCCTTCCATCTGTCGTCTTTCTAAAGTTCTCAGAGCTTTTACAAGTGCAAAAAAAGGCTGAAAACATCACTAATAGGTCCATACTGTCTCCATCAATATGGACTTGGATTTAATCAAAAGAAAATCATAAACGAGAATATAATTTCGAACATGGAACCAGTAAAACGTAACCTGTGCTAATAGGCAATACCCAATTAGCTCGGCAATGAGTGAATTCACGAGAAAATGTCTATAAACATTTTTTATGGCAAATTTCTTCTGCTATAAATGAAGTTTTTCTCGATTTCCTCCTAAAATCACTCCCTTTCGATATACATGGGCAATTACAAAAGAAAAGTTACATGTTTTATCATTTCACTATAAACTGACATTCTCAATTTTTGAAAATTTGACAGCAATTCATTTTGGCAATTTGGCTTAAAATAAGTGGGATTTTCTCGAAAAACTAGCTTCACCCCATTCACTCAGATGTAACGTGATGACCTCGGATGCGCCATATGGAATTAAAACACACAGTCCATTGATTATATTTATTCTTACCAATCAAAATACAGGGTGATACTTAACAGCGGAAAAACCGGTTAATTCTGTCTATAAAATGTATCAATTGATTGCATAGTATCAGGTAATTATAAATTATTCATTGCGAGGCGTTGACGACTCCGTGTGCTTTCGTGCCACGTAATCAGCTGTCGCAAATTCACCGACAACTACATCGTCTAATTTGATGACAACGATGGCACCGTCTCCATCACTTCGAATTTCAACTAAAATTGAAATAAACATTATTCACAAATATATACTCGGAAAAATTTCATTTGTGAAGTTGGTGAATAATGAAACTCATCAGTCATTTGCTGCGTTCCTCCAATGTTAAGAAGAGATTTAACGTGGCCCTTAAAACTTCCCCAGAGTTCTCCAACTAAAGCGTGAAAGAAAATAAATTACATCACATATTGAATCAATTGTTATTAATTGCTTTGATTTATAAATTTGCTCGTGACTTTCCAATATTGTTACAAAAGTTTATAGTCATCATTTTGCTCCAGCCTTAGTGACATTTAGGTGAAAATCGGTTCGTAAGTTGGAGCAATGACAGCTGTAGCACAATCATCAATAGTTATGGAATTCACCTTTTGTTTTCATCTTGGGCTCAATTTCCACAGTTCACTTGTATTTAATTAATCCACAAAAGTTCTGTTTACTGTCCTGATGCAAGCGTCAATGATTTTGCGACGTTAGTTGGTTAGGACGTGTGAAGGAGAATGGGAGTACCAGTAGCTCCCCTATGCGGAGTCATTGGTTTTTAGGACTGGAGATATTTAATTTTGCGATTCAACACGCACGAAAAAGTTTAATAGAAAATCTGAAAGAATTCTTTAGAGAATTCTATTGGATTTCTATTGAATTATCCATAACTTTTTTGCTGTTTCTATTGACATGTTCTATAGAACATATTCTACAGAAAAAGTCAATAGAAATCGATTTCCTATAGAATTTCTTCGGCTCAAATTTTCTAAGGTTTTTGTGTTTGATTTTCTTGACGGGAAGAAAATCAAAATTGAATGAAATAAACTTAGAAAATTTGAACCAAAGGAATTTTATAGAAAATCGATTTCTATTGACTTCTTCTGTAGAATATGTCCTATAGAACATGTCAATAGAAACAGCAAAAAACTTATAGAGAATTCAATAGAACTCCAATAGAATTTTCTGAAGAATTCTTTAGGATTGTCTATTGAACTTTTTCGTGCGTGAAATCTCGATTCTAGTCACATTGGCTAATTTTTTTATACATCTTTTTTTTCCAATGTAAACGAA